GAATGTCATAAAAATTTCAGCCAAAAAGAATGCTTTATCCTTAAGATATTGGATAGCTAAAAAAAATGATCATATGTCTTAGAAAAGTTAGAAAATTGAACAGTTTTGAAAATTTAGTATCTCAAGAATAAAGCATTTGTTTTGGTTGAAATTTTTATGACATTCTAATAACCTTGACATCTCTTTATAGGCAAAATTTCAGGTCAAAATACCATCGTTTGATTTTTTCATAAATGCTCTGCCTGAAATCGAAAATCCAGTAAAATGCTCATAAATCGGCTTCAACAGCACATAGGTACGAATCCTTTTAGGCTTTGGCTATTGACATTGAAGTCTAATTGTGAGGAAAAAATGAGCTCTAAGTCGAGGGAACACTTCAGGTATTTCCCTCATCAGTATTTTATCCAGCGTGGGAGTCAAAGACATAGCGCCCATCGGAAAATCACGTTGGCCCTCTAAGAGTTCGTAATTATTGTAGCACATACTATGTGTCCATGCTCCTAAAAAATAGGTGTTTGCTTCCCTGGAAGAGAAAATCTGAAGAAAATTATGGCTTTAATCAAATGAAGAGAAATTATCTTAATATTTGTTTGAAGTTAACTAAAACTCATTGATCATTCCGTATAATTGATGGAAGTAAATTCTTGTGGAGTCTCATAAAAACTAAGTGGCAAATGTCGATGTGAAATTGGAGTCATGAACAAAACATATGTCGAGGGAAACAAGCGAAAATTTTCCACTTCACAGTACTCAAAGGATATGTCAACGCTACTCTCTAGAACGTTTTAGCTATTTCAAGTTTCCTATTAAAGTGTCTCATGAATCTTTATCACTGAAGTATTTGAGCTTTATTGCAAGAGAGACTTATATAAAATGAATGCAAATTGATCTGCTCGTGATATACGTCCATAGAAGACTTGAAATAGTAAAGAAGTTCTAAAGAATACCTTTGACAAATCCTTGAAATACGTGGAAGTACAGAATTTTCGCTTTTTTCTCCTTGACTTATATGCTCACTTGGAGTGACTAACAATACAGAGTATCACACTTCACTTCCTATATTCAGATAACTTACTATATATGTTTCTTTAGTTTCGAGATATCTAAGAAAAACTTAATTCTAATTTGTTGGTACAGACCTTAATCTTAGTAAAAATATCATAGTTTTAAAAGCATTGTTTATTGATTCGAGCTCTTTTCGAGTGTTTATAACTCGTTCTAGAACTTGCATCTACTGACACAAGAATTCGAAAATTTATTCCTGTACTTGTACTAAGTCCTTTTGTTTTTTTTTCTACTACTAGAAGACAGATCAAATTATAGATTTTAACAAACTTTACTTAATCGAACTTGTCAATAACTTAAATGAAAATACTTTTATTTTTGATTTTATTTGACTATTTCTCTTCAATAAAATAACCACATGAGGTGAACAAATCATTTTTCGAGTTATTGTAATATCTAGTCATAACTCGTTAGTTAGTTGGAGCGATTGTTTTATATATGATTCTTTATCGAACATAATCGATTTCTCGCGATAAGTTTTGGTTTCTGTTTTTTTAGTCTTCTTGATTGTTTGTCGAAAAACTTCAAGAAACTCTTGCAAGATTCTAATGACCTATTATTTACATACAAAAAGAAAAAGAATTGCAAGTCTTTACCTAAATGTTTGTATGACTCGATTTTCCCTGAGTTCAATTAATTTAAGTGTATCATCTCGTGAACAAGCCAATAGTAGTTGTTTTTCTAAATACAAAAAATAAAAGAATATTCATAAAATTCAATCATTTGATTTATTCAATTACCTCGATTAATTGATAATGATGTAACTGCTGCTTGTAATTGTAATTCACATTTAGTTGAATCATTTCGTGCATCCCAAAAACGTATTTTCTTATCAAAATGACCACTAATCAAACTTCCAGATGCATCATGTGCAACTAAATCATGACATTTTGATCCAGCAAATAAAGTTCGTACACCTGAAAAATAAATAATTAAATAAAGAATAAGAAAAAAGAAATAATTTACATTGACGATTTTGTAAATCCCATAATTTCAATGTTCGATCTTGACTACCTGATGCAATTAAAGTTGCAGTTACAAATTTAGCACAAAAAACTTTTGCTCCATGACCAGTTAATGTGTGACGTAAACGTTGATCACCAAGACCCCAAACACGACAAGCAAAATCTTCTGAACATCCAAGAATTAAATTAGCCTATTACAAATTTCATTGTTTAAATATTTAAAACAAAAAACAAACAAACAATCTAAGTTTTTTTCATTTCTTACATTTTCATTATCAAAATCAATAGCAGTCACTGTTGAATTATTTCCAGTAAGAACATAAACTTGTTGAACTTGATCTAAATTGAAAAATTTTATATTTAACTTGTACAAAGAAAAATATTTTTATTACTATTATGAGCATTCAGTTCCCAAATATGAATTTTTCTATCACTACCACCTGTTGCAATTAATGATCCAGATGGATGAAATTGAATAGCATGTAATTCATTATCACCACAATCCTAAATGATAAAGAAAAAACCGAGAATGATCAGTGAAAATCCCATTCACTCACATCAAGTTTTTTTTAAAAACTGACCCATTTGACTATAGCTTTTTTTGGTATAATGACTTTCATGAAATCAGTTGTTGGTGTTAGATGTACTTTTCCATCCTGATTAGCATTTCTCAAGTGTGTTATTGATGCTGTTGTTGAACTACAGGGAAAAAAATTGAAAAATAAATTTAGAAGAATATATACTTACGTCATCAAGTTTGATAATGTTGATGTCATAAAATCACTCTTAGCTTCTTCTAATTTTCTTTTAACATCCTCTTCCATTCGTCTAAATATGAAAAATTTTTTTTATAGATTGAATAGAAAAAAAAAACTTCTAATGCAACAAACTTTTCATGCAATTTAACTTCTTCATCTAATGCATTACATTTTTTCTCTATTTTTTCAGTCATTCTTTGACGTAGAACAGCAATAGTTGCATCTAATTCTTTTTGACGTTCTTCTAATTGTGTGTAGGCTAATTGTAATGCTTGGAATTCATCATGTATTGTCTAAAGAGAGAAGGTTTTTTTTTCAATACATCGATTCTTTTATTTGAAATTTTATAATAACTCGAAGATTCTCCAGCAGCTTCTGGAATTTATCTATGAATCCCAGTATACATCTTACCATGAAATATAGGGAATGATGCTGAGGGTGGGAACAAAAACTTTAAAATTATGTTTTACTTTTGATACAGTTCACATGTATTTTAATCCTATCAATAGATTCATTTTAATAAATTCCATAGTTACAATAAGTTTAATAAATCACGAAAAATAAGTTCCGCTGGTCTTCAAATTCTTAAGCAACTCAAGTCAAATAAGATAAGACTACAAATTCTCTTCTCAATAATTATACAATGAAATTTGTTAATTTTAATAAATGACTTCGTAAATAAGATTTGCTAATTAGAGAGATCAGAATATGTCGAAAGAGTTAACATCTTCTCCATTCATAAATAACATTGCATTCTATTTCTATATTCTTAGTATCAAATGAACTAGGGGGTGACATGCTTTCTAGAAAATTGATTGTTTTAATAATTCAATGACTTGTGCTCAGAGCTATCGGTGAAGATTAGAATTCATATAAAGCCATTCAATATTCAATTCAATTCAATAGATCAAATACAATATCTCGAATGGTTTACTTTTCATAATTACAAAAAAATCAATTTCCTGATATTGTCTTTTTGTCAGTTATGAGTAAATGCTTGTTTACCATAGTATAGAATCTCTAATAGATATACCCTATCATTTCAAATAAATGAATTATGAAATTACTAAATATAAATTATTTAGTTTTTGAGAAATGACATTTTTTTCACAAGGATGAATTCAATCAAGATATTCTTCAGCTTACTTCGTTAACTTTTTTTAAGGCACTCAATTGGTCTTCAGCTGATTCAAGTCGTTGTCTTAATGATACATTTTCTTTTGTTAATATTTGATTTCTTAAAACAAAAAAAAGAAATCAATGACATGTCATCTATCAAAAAAAAACAACACAATACAGACCTATTTTGTTCAGAATAAAGTTTTTCATCTCTTTCTTTAACAAGACGACTAAGACTAATTACTTCTTTAGTCATCTAGTCATAAATAAAAATAAATTAATAAGAAAAATATAATTATAAAACATACATCGCCTCGTTCTCTTAATAATGTGAGTATTTCATCTTTAGCTTTCATATAATCATTTTCTAATGTTTTTATTTTATCATTAACAGGTAGACCGGCAACACTAAAAGAAATAATAAAATAAAAAATATTCAATTATTATTGTCTAGACTATTACATGTTTTTACCTAACACTATTTTTTTGCAAATCTGTATTTTCTTGCCGTAATGTTAATATATCTCGTTCTTGGTCTGTACATCGGACTAATATTGTTGAATAATTTTCAGTTAGACGATTATCTATACATACATGCATAAAGTAAGCAATAATTTTTTCAAAATTCTTTAGTTTAAATTGAATAGTTTTCCAATATAATAAAGAATCATGATTTTGAAAAAAATTTTTTTTTTGTTATCTCATAGTAAAATAAAGATCTTTTTTAATGTGATTAATGAGATTATTATTACAGAAGAATATTTTTCTATTTCTGATTGAAATACATATAAAGAAAAACCTACAATGTTTAACAATTTCCGCGTAAACATCACGTTCTTGTCTATTACGTTCTTGTAATTGATTAAATATTTTTTGTTTCCATTCCATAATTAATTTATATCTATCAAAAGAAAATAGATGATATATTTAAAAAAAAAATAATCAAAGAAATAAACATCGACTAATATTTCTAGTGTACATGGACGATATATAATAATACATTTTTGATCATCCGAAACAATGCAAAACAAAACGTTATTGGAAAAAAAACATTTGTCACAATAAAAATTCAAAAGAAATAAATATTTAATTATCATTGACTCCAAAGAATCACTTGACGATGTTTTTCACAAGATGCAACATATTTTCCATCAGGTTGCCAAGCAATCGATGTGACCATTGTACTACAAAAAAAAAAAAAAAAAAAAATTTTCATTCAAAAACAATAAACTAAGAGTTTGTATTAATGCGAACTTATGTTTTTGTTTCAGAACATTTTCACAATGTTGATTGTCCATATTCCATACTACTAGAGAACCATCTTGAGATCCAACACAAGCATAACGACCATCGGGTGATAAAACAGCTTTGTTTGTATCTGTGCTTACTTTAAAATTGTCATGTCTAAAAGTAAAAAATAACCATCAAAATTGATGTGATTTATTAAAAATAACAATAGTTCAAATTCTTTTCGGAATTCATACTTAAATGTATAAATAGTTTTATTTTGTCTTAAATCAATTAATTTAAGTGTATCATCTTTGAAACATGCAAGCAATTGTTGTTTTTCTAAAAGAAAAAATTTTAACTTCTATAACTTTCAAAAGAATTTTTTTTTTTTGTTTTCTTTATACCATCATTATATGATAATGACGTAATTGCTGCATCATATTTAAATTCAGTTCGACATTTATTTGTAAATGGATCCCATATACGTATTTTTCTATCAAAATGACCACTTATTATTGTACCAGTTGCATCTGTTATTACTAAATCATGACATTTTGATCCAGCAAATAAAGTTTCTATGCCTTAAAAAAAAAAGTAACATTTGTACAATTTTATTTATTACATTGCAAAAACTTTACAGTGTCGACCATTTAAATCCCATATTTTTATTGTTCGATCGGCACTACCCGTTACTAGTTTTGTTCTAGAAATAAATTTACAAGTATATATTAAACGTTCGTGACCAGTATATGTATCTTTAAGCATTTTTTGTTCTCCATATGACCAAATATATGCTTTATCACCAGAACATCCAGCCACAAGGCGAAACTAATATCATAAAAGAAAATTAATAAAGATTAAATTCTTAATAGTTTATATACTCCTTCATTATCAAAATCAAGTGCATTGATTGCTCCATGACTACCTTGAAGTGAACAATATTTACTTTGTTGACCGGTTGATGAAATTTCCCATAAATGAATCATTTTGTCACTACATCCTGTTGCTAATATTGAGCCAGATGGTTGAAATTGAAGAGCATATACTTCAAGTTCAGTACAATCCTATATTAAATAATTAATAATAGATAATAGGCTTTATGATGAATGAATGAAATTAGAATAATAAACAATTTCCCTTCGAATTCTTCTCTAAATGATAATTCATACTATCAATTTACATCCAATATGAAAATGAGGAAAACAATAAATTGCTATTTGTACAGAAAAATTAGAATAATATTTGATAAATTTTGTTATACTGATATATGATATTACAATCAAAGTCGATCCTTCAAATTCATAAAAATACTATTAATATGATTTAGTAGTCTCAGAATGCTGTCTTATAAGAGAATATGAGTTACTAATGGTTGTCAGTATTTCATTTTTACCCAATGAGTTATAACACGTGTTGGAATAGAAGCCAATAGACAACTTGTCGATGTTCGATAGAGTCTATCATTTGTACTATTAGTCATTCCATTTGAAAATTTACGCATAAAATTTTTCAATAAATTTCCACCACCATTACTCAAACCATGCATACTATTTTTCCTTTCTCGATGTAATGATTCATGAGAAGAATAATTCATTGAATTATAATTGTCACCAAATGAACTATATGAGAATTCATACAGAATGTATTATTAAAACAAAAAAAAAAACACCAATTCAAAAAAACATACTCTGAATTAATGAAAGTATTTTGATGTGAATCAGATGAATGTTTAATTGAAGGAACAATAACTATATCATCATCAAAAAAGATACTTGATTCAGTTAGTTTCTGTACTTCGACTTTTTTATGATCTCTGAGAGCAAACAGAAAACATGTTCTTGTTATTTATTAATAAATATTATATTACTTGTTATTAAATTGTTCACTTTCAAGATCATGCATAGTAGCTTGTTGATTTTTATATAATATTAATTCAACTTCAATTTGTTTATTTATTTGTTGAGCTGTTTGTAATTGTTGTTCAAGTTCCAAACAAGTTGGTTTCATTTGATTATAATCTGTATGTAATTGACCGACATTATTTTTAATAGCTTGAAATTCATCTCGAAGTACCTTCAAAATAAAGAATATATATATATTAATATCATTACTAAAAAATAAATAAATTTACTTCATTAACTTGTACAAGTTCATTGATTTGAAATTCTGCTATTTTTAATTTTTCATGTAATTCATCATTTTCATTTTTATATTGTTGAGCTCTGAAAACAATTCAAATTACAAATCAAATTTTTTCTATTATTTATTCCTTACTTTATTTCTTCTTTAATGAATTTTTCATTTACATCTGTTAGTAAATGATTTAATCGAAGAACTTCTCGAGCAAACTAAGTTAAAAAAAAAAGAAGATGCAAACAAAACAACTAATAATATACTAATTAGATTGAATTTAATATGACTTACTTCACTTTTCTCTCGTAAATGTGTAATTACTTCTTCATTGGCTTTGCTTAATTTATTATTAACAGTTACTAATTCTTGACTAGAATAAACAGGAAAAAAAAGAATTAATGTTATGTTTTAAAAAATAAATTCACCTTGCTTCAGCTGCTTTTTGTAAATCAGCATTAGCTAAACGTAAATGATAAACATCTTTTTCAAGTTTAATACATTGAACTTGTTGAATAGTATTATTTTCCAAAATATGATTATCTATTTAAAAAAGCAAGACAGAAAAAGGAATTTTTACTACACAGGAAAAAAAAAACATACAATCTTCTATAATGCTTCCATATACGTTCCATTGGCGATTATGTTCTTTTAGTTGAGAAAAAATATTTAATTTCCAATTTGAATCAATCGTAGTCATTACTTGATCGAAAAATGAAAAAACCAAGGCAGTCCTTTTCTATTCACGCATGAATGAATAACAAAGAAGAAAAAAATGCCAGCACAAGATAAGAACCAAACTGCGTAACACGCCATACATAGATTAAAATAGACAAAAAAAAAAAGAAAATGAATATTTTGTTTTGACATCATTTCCGCACATCGTAGTGGGCTTCGACAGAGGTCGTCATATATTTAACAAAATATCTACAATGCATTGGTTATTGAGAACAAATCAAAGAAACTTGTTCTGGCTATAGAAGATTTCCAATCTTCTATTGTATCTCATTTATTTTCATACCTTTAGTTAAAAGGTTTTTTAAAAATCGAAACGTTTTTTGAGAATTTGGGAAAAGATTTTTATGGTTGTTAAAGTCAAAAAAAATAATGTTGATCAAGTGATTACGATTATTCTACTCAGATCCGTGAGAACTAGGCATATTTTCAATTAAATGTATCAGTTAAAGTTGCAATTTTACGAGAAATTAATTAATTAAGGAGAATCTTCTATTATATCCAACGTATCGTTTCTCCTAGAGGCATCTTTTAATATGGAAGATTTTCGAGTGCGTCAAGTGATTTGCTTTGCATACAAAAATAATATTTCATATTTTGCTGTTATACAGGGTGATCCAAAAGTTATCTGTCAGTTTTTGATTATGAATAACTTTTGATAGCAACAAGATGGAAAGTTTCGGCTTTCAATATTCAAATGAGGCTGTGTTACTGCATTGTTCCATGTATTATTCAACAATGTTTGTTGATGACCCAATGATCAATTGATAGTCTTCTGAAAAAAAAATTTACAACTTTCTGAAGACAATAAAAGAAAGTTAAATTGTAAGAAATGCATTAAAATTAAATGGTCACGATTTACACCCACAATATCATTTAATATTTCATCGTGTTCCATTCAATAATTCTAGGTAGAACACTAGCTTGTATTAGCGTAGATGTCAATCGTGATCATTTGGTTTTAGCGCACTTTTTACAATTCAGCCTTTTTTGTTGTCTTCAGAAAGTTGTAAATGTTTTTCAGAAGACCATCAATTGATCATTGGATTATCAACAAATATTATTGAATAATACATGAAACAATGCAGCAACACAGCCTCTTTCGAATTGTGAAAACCGAAACTTTACATCTTGTTCCTATCAGAAATTATTCATAATCAAAGACTGCCGGGTACCTTTTGGATTATTCTGTACACTAGAAGATTCGACAGCATTCCTTGCTATTGAGAAAAATGGCTAACTATTAACATAAACATCTGGAACAAATGAAATTTTATGAAGTGAGTTTTGTTTAAGAGGAAGTCTTAATATTTTTTGATAGTAATAGAAACTAAATAAGAAGATATTGATTTCTCTGTCACGTTCATTGAGTGTTTCTAAAAGGATATAATAAATTGTATTTTTCTTGTGAAAACTTGTGGCTGTAGCAAAAGCAATCTCATGGGATGATATAGGACACCACTTGATATCCAACTATCATCCGGGTAGCAAAGTATTTTGATAAAACATTCACTGACTCCATAAGGATGAATGTAGACCCAGGCGCTCTATAAAGGAGGATGATATTGGCCGATGCTTGATACGTGAACAACACATACGCAACAGATAGAAGAAACATTTTGCGGAACTCTATAACCCGTTGTCTAGTTTGCAAGGTAAATTAAGTGAATTATCATAGAATGGAACTGATGATATTTCTTTGACAGCTATTAAATCATTCAAATCCGATAAAGGTGATGGAATGAAAGAAATAAGCCCGGTGACGTTAAAATCACTCAGCTCTGATGGCATATGTTGGTTCATTCGTATCTGCTGTGTAGTGTAGAGAACTGGAAAAGCTCTAGCGGCCTGACAGACTGTCATCGTTGTTCTCATTTTCAAACCAGGAGATCAAAGGAAGTGTTCTAACTATAGAAGAATTATTCTACTTAGCATAGCCGAGGAGTTTGCGCCGAAGTGATAGAATGAAGATTTTAAGAGACAGTCAAAGCATATATTCAAGATACATAATGTGGATTTTGCGCAGACCGAGGGACGACAAATCAATTTTTCTCATTACAGCAAGCATTTGAAAAAATCAGGGAGTTCGCTAAATCCGTTTATACATTATTCATAGACTTAGAGAAGGTGTATGATCGAACATCACAGAACTCACTTTGGAAAGTGTTAAGAAAATATGGAATTAATGGTCGTCTCTTGCCTGTAATCCAGCCTTTGTACAACGACTGCAAAAGCTATGTTCGTATAAATGGCAATAAACTAGTCGGATTGATTCCAGACGTACGTTGGATTATAAGAAGGATGTGTATTCTCGGTGCTACTATTAATAATTTTAATGGAGAAGATAGGTCGAAATGGATAGTGTCTAAGTAGGTCTTCTTCTTTTGTGAAAGACGTCATTCGTCTGGTAGCAACAACTGATGAACTTCAATGATTCCTTCAAGACAACCAGGACAGCGTACTCTTCGTGTAGATGATGCTCCGTTGAATCAAGTTGGCAAGTTTAAGTATTTAAGGGTGCATTTGGTTAGCGATGGAAAGCAAGACTGCGAAATTGGTCGAAAATTTGGTACTTTTCAAATCACTATATCGATCGAACATCATTTATGGACACTAACAATGAATAGTGGCGGAGAAAATTGGATCTCGAATATGAGTGGCTGAAATGACATTCTTGCAGAGAACAGCTGGCCAGACACTCCAAGGTAAAGCTTGCGGTTCAGTCATATGAGAATCTCTCCAAATTGAGCCTCGATTTCTTCATTAAGGTATGCCTATGTAAAAAGGCTAGTCGAACGTCCACAAACCAGTCTGCAAAAATACATTGAGAAACTCTGTTAGGCGCGTTTAGAGTTTGAATGGACTGAAGTACAATATGTGGTAAAAGATTGAAACAGATGAAAAATCACTACCGAAAGGGTTTAAATTTCGACTTAAACATACTAGAGAAAAGAAGATGAATGAATGAATATTAAATCTCCGTAAGTCAAACGTTCAAGAAAATCAAATACAAAAAATGAAATTATACGATTCGTTGTCCAACGTCCAGCTATTGTTAATAAAGTAACTTGTGAACATATATTTAATAGAGAGATTTATGAATCAACTAAACATAAATATATCAACAAAGAAGAATAAAAACATATAAAATGCTGCTGTATTTGAAATAATTACTTGAACAATAGAACGAATTGTTTCATTTAAATATGTCTATCCATGACTTCTTATTGTTTTACCAATAATTACCGCTGATAAAATCAAAAATGTTCCACATGAAATCAGTACAATCCTTCGATCTGATTTATGCATAAATAAAATAGCTGGAACAGTAGCAGAATAAATTCACATCCATTAATTCTAGTAGCATGTAAAAATCGATGTTGACCATCGAAATCAGTTTATTTTGATATTTGTTTAAAAATACCAACGGTGAGATGAAAATGAAGTGATGTATCAAGAAATTGAGAATAATATTGAACAGATTGTTTATGTTTGAAATTCATTTCATTTTTTGTTATAATACTATATGCATGAAGTATATCCACTGATGATATTAATGATGAGTCAATTTTAGTAACAATAGTGAATGTTTCATTTTCATGTCCTTTTCATTTGGCTAACGAGTTGAAAAAGCAAAAAGCAAAATAAATACCAAATAGTACGTATTAATACTGAAACAATCTTTAATGCTAACAAAATACTCTATGAGTTACTACTACTCAAAAACTGAATTTCTGCATCTGATATATTAAAATTATCCAATTGTTTTTTTTTTTGAAATATTTTCAAATACCTTACTATAATTAATCCAAAAACAAATGACAATACTATTGGCTATTACCCATTGTTAAAAACAAAAGAAGTCAACCACGAATATTTATTATTGTAACTTCTGATTAATATAAAAGCATTAGTATTGATAATGCACCTATCGAAACATCTATTCTATCAATTAAAAATGATTTATATAATTCAAAGTAATCTTACCAACAATTCAACGAAATGATAGTGATACAAAGAAAATTGAATACATCTGTTCGTAAAGTAACATTTATGATAAAAACAATCAAAAACAGAATAATTGAATATTTTCGTAAAAGATAATCATCTGATAAACTTACAAGAAGTGTATTCAAGAAACAATCAACAAACATAATATCCTCAATAGAATCCAATACAGAATTTGTTAATATGCTACGATTAACATTTGACATATCTCCAGATGTCAGAAAAAAAATCTGATCTTGTACACACATCCGGTATAACACCAATACCATAGTCAAAAAGAAGGCCATCAATAGTTACAACACTATCTGTATTACACAGAATTGAAAATTTTTACTCAACGACATCATAGTAGGTTTATCAGTGTGGTAATGTGAGCCATTTTCTCTTTGTTTCAATTGTTATTAGATATGAAAGAGAATTTAGTTAATGATTAATTGCAGACGTGTAACATTAAGACTTTTTTTTTTCTTATTAAAAATGTCAAAAAAAAAACATCATTTCTATAATAATGAATGATTTTCACATTTAATTTTAGAATAGCTTCTTTTCAGTTGATTTATTTAATTTCTTGTTTTTTCCAGTACATAAAAATTTCTACTTAATAAAGTCTTCATTTCTATAATAGTCTAAATTTTGATAAACGAAAAAACGATTGTTGATGGACTTAATGAGTTATCAATCCAAAGCGACAAAATTCAAATTTATTTAACAATTATTCTTTATTTCTTATTACAAGATAGCATCTATGGTTCTCTCCTTATAAACAATGGCAACGAGCGACTCTCTGTTTTATGTTTGATCATGTTCTTTTCCGATTAGCTGAACTAAATTCAAATCAGACGTTGAGTTTGACTCATCAGTCATTAATGTCATTTCAACTCAATCTTGTTTTCGTAGTACATAGTAGTCTTCATATTAAAAAAAAAAAGAACTATGAAACCATGTATTGTTATCGTTGGTCTTGATCAAATATTTCTTGATGAAATAGTTCAAGGTCTAACTGGTGAAAATAAAATCAATGATAATAATTTAATTGAATGGACTATTGATACAAAATATTATACAGCTGATGTTCATTTATGTCCAATAAATACTAAAAGACTTGTTGAAGAATCAGTTGCTAATCTAGCTGAAGTTCTTATTTTACTTATTGATCCTTCACAAGTATGATATTTTTGATTGTTTAATAAGCAAAAGAAAAAATAAACCATTTTTTTTGTTCCTCTATAGATCAATAGCCGTACAAAACTTGATAGTTGGTTACCATTTTTAAGTGTTCTTAATGAATGTGAAACAAAATTACTTGTAGTTCGAAATATGGATGCTTTATCAAATAGTTAGTTTTTAAAAATAAGAATTTTTCTTGATTAATATTTTGTTTTTATTGATTATTGTCTATAGCAATTTCAAAAATGGATGTAAAACAATGGTGTACAGAACATGAATATGAATTGCTTGAACTTGAAAAAACTACAACATCAGAAACAGATGATGAAGATGATGAAAATAATCATCGTAAGCGAGAGATACAAAAAAAGATAAAAAAAGAAAAGAAAAAAAAATATATTTATACATAAAATATTTCATGAAATTCTTGTTTTTTCTTTTCTTTCTTCTTTTAAATATTAGTCTATCGGGGTGTTTATGGTATACCACATTTAATTCAAACACTTCATATTCATCAATGGCCAAATATGAATCTTAAAGGTAAAAAGAAAATTATTTAAATATGTTCTATTGTTTTTTTAATATGATTATCAATTTTTTTAAATCGTATTTGATTTGATCTTTGCCGTCTTATTATTGATTCATGTCGAAGTTTAGTTAATTCGGATTCTTGCTGACGTCTTCTTCTTTGTTGCTGTTGCGGTTGTTGTTGTTGTCGTTGTTTTCTTCGAATATTCGATTGTATAATAGGTTTTGATCGTTGTTCATTTATAACTGAAATATGATTTGATGGTGATTCTACAATAGTTATATCATCCTCATCAATTATATTCCAAGTTACTGTTGGCATTTGTTGTTGACTTGTCGTTTGTCGAACATTATGTTCTAATTTTGATTGTTTTAAACGTTTCATTTTTATACCTCGACGTGTTGACATCAGTTGAACTGATCCACTTGATAAAGTAGTTGAACGATTTGAACTAAAAAAACTCATTAATTCATCAAGACGCCATTTAGATAAGAAATGTTGTGCTGCTGATGAAAAACGTGTATCAAAACCAGTTATTATTATTGGATCAAGTAAAATATTTAATGATTTTGTTACTTGTACAGTATCTTTAAGAAGACGACTTTTAGTATAAAGTGTTATTATTTCAGCTGGTAACCAAAAAACAGCAAAATTAAGAAATAAAAATAGAATTTGAAGAATAAGATTTTTTCGAATATGTACATGACGTTTAAATGCTCGATTAAAACGTCGTTGCATACGTATTAAATCAATACATATTGTCAAATAACAAGCAAATGAAATTGATAATGGAAGAAGAAATATATTGCCTTAAATAGAAAATAAATAAAATAAAATGATAATTATTTATTTATAGAAAGTTAAAAAAATTCTTTTAACAATATGAAATATCCTTTAGATAAAAAGTTTTGTAATATATTTTTCTGTAAAATCATTCTTATAAATATGAAATATTTCGTCAGAATTCATTAGTTTTGAATTGTATAATTAGTTGGGTAAAAAAAAAATTAATTTCCTAACATTCTTTATTAATTAAATCAAAACTATTTTCTATTCTTTTGTATTCCTCTACATCTGACATATGAATTTAAATTTAAAAACAAATGAAGTAGTGTTATGAGTTTAGAAATAAAATCCAAGAATAAAAGATATTGCTTTTTTTTAAAAATCTCTCGATGGCGATTTCTTCCTTAAACAAAGTCTTAGTTTTAACAAAAAAAGATTTTAATTTCTAATATTGGAAATTCTTTTTTTTTTTGTGTTTCATACCAAGTCTATAACACATATAGATCGCAACAACAGTTGATCCATATGTATAAGATATTTGACATTGATTTGTTGCTTCATGTTGTATTATTCGTAAAATTTTTAATGAAATTAATAAATATGCCGGTATAATTGATGTAATTATTGGCATAATCCAAAGTGCAATAATTAAAAATAGACTTCGTTTTGTTGATCGTGCTGTTTCATTATGTAAATTAACAAAATGACGACGACGATAAATAGATATTGCTGTTAAACTATAAGCCATTAGAACAGTTAAATATAATGGAAGATAAACTTGTAATTGACAATAAAAACGACCAGCTAATGAACCAAGTGCTAAATCACCTGTTAAATGTATAATTACAAAAATAAGTTCATATAAAAGACCAAGAAAATCAACAAGTAAATAATTTGATGTCCATATAAGACTACGCATACGTTGTCGACGACGTTGAGTACGACTACGTGAACCACCACCGGATATGGCTGTACTTGAACTAATACGTTGTACAGTTAATTCAATAAAAAGTATAAAAACAATAGCATAACATGGTAATGTTAAACTTAATATAAATAATTCTACAATACGCATAATACGATTAAATGGTGATTTAAAAAAAAAATATTTTTTATATAAAGATGATGATGTTGTTGTTACTGTTGAACGTTGTAAAGGAAAAATTCTTGTTGCATTAAATAAACGAAGAAGTTTATTTGTTGTTGTTGTTGTAATTATTGTTGTTGTTGTTGTTGTTGTTATTGTTGTTATTGTACTATTAATTAATTCAATTTCACTTGATTCTTGATTAGTAGATAATGTAAAAGTTTTATTATGATAAAGATAAAATAAAAATGATGATAAATCAATATCCGATGTTATATTCATATCATTTCTAAATCAATTTTTAATAATAGATTTTTTTTCTTTTTTCTTTTTTTCTTTGTATTAGATCGACGAGAAATTAATCGAAATTTAGCTAAACAATTGAAAGCTAAATTAAATTTTGATGATAGTAATGATGTGGATCGTTCTGAAGAACAACACGAGCAGAACGAACAATTTGATTCTTCTTTGACGACCAATAACCACCATGGTAAATGTTGTCTGTTGTGTGTGTGTGTATGTTCTCTCAACTCATCATCACTGCTAAATAGTAAAAGAAACAATAGCAGCATACCTCAAAATTTTGTCTTTTATTTCGTGTTTGTTCTTCCTTTTTCTTTTTTGGATGTAACAGAAATTGAAATCGAAACATCGGGTGCTTTAGCTCTTCGCTTTTTTCTTCTTCTTTTTTTTTTTCTTTATTCGATTGTTCTTTTCTTTCTTTCTCACTACCTTTTTTTATTATGTTAGCAGGGTAGACTATGAAAATTCTTAAAATAGTAACATTTGAACCTTGATGCAAGAGGAAGGACAGATAATTTACTGATATGAATAAATTGTTTTATTTTATTGTTATAGTTACTGATGATTTTGGTATGGAAAATATATTTGAACAAATGCAAAGATATAAAGGTAAGTGAAATATTAACAATTGAATAATTTGTAAGATAAAAAAAAAAGTTTTTTATAACTTGAAAAAAGAAAAGAAATTTCGATGATTAATTATGAATAAGAATTTAAAAAAATGTAAATATAATTATTATTTAGAGGAAGCTGATCAATTAACGGGTGATGAACGAAAACGATTTGCTGAAAAGGTTTAAAGATAAGAAATTAGTAAATTTTTCTTTAGTATGTTTCATTTTTTCTTTATAGGTGATTTTATCACTTTGGAAAAGCATAGGTGATGATGAAGACGAAAGCGATGATAATGACGATCATGATCATGATCATGATGACGGTGATGATGAAAATAAAAAATAATATTTATAATTAGTCGTATTATCTTCGCTTTTTAGTCAGATTTTATAAAATAAAAAGAAAATTTATTTCGATTTTATTCCAATAAATCAAAATTTTATGATTAAAAAATAAATAAATTTAGATTTTATGATTGATACAAAGGAAACCTAACAAGAAAACATATTCGACTGTTGGTCACCGTTTGACTTCATATTATTATGGCTACGAGTAGGTCTCGGTCAGACTAAGACAAACTTAAAAAGATTCGAACCTATGATCTATTGATAAAAAGTTACAGACGATTTAATGAAATTTTTACTGAAAGCAATATATTGCCGAAGAATCTACAACAAAATCTGAAATTTGGTCTATACACACGTTTTATAGCTATTAGATTATCCTGAAAGTTTCAACGAAAACGATCATATATTTCTTGAAATATTCGATTTTGAAGTAGACTCAATTGTTGTGCTGTCCTATGGTAAACCGCTGCTTTTTTGGAAATTGAATATCTCGAGAAACATATGTTTGTTTTTGTTGAAAATTTTGAGAACAATGTAATAGCTGTCAAACGTGTGTATAGACCAAATTTCAGATCAAACTCTTTGTTTTGGATTTTTCGACAATGCCTAGTTCTCAGTAAAAATTTCATTAAAACGTCCAATAACTTAAAATTCATCAAACCTAACGAATAACATAGAATTAATGTTTCACATAAAAACTCCATAAATCAATTGAATTCTTTAAATACTACATAATATTTGATTGACATTTGTTATTGTCAATAAAGTTAAACTTCATTTTTAATATCATTATAACAGTTTGCCACACTTTATTTTCCGTTTCTAATTAAAAAATTTTTAAACCTATTCTCGTCAGTATAGTAAGACGGTCAGTTACAAACGTACAAGGAATAAATATTATTGATTCTATAGTTTGTCGTTAAATGGAAAACTCAAAATTGTACGATTTCAAAAGATCTTTGCAATCATCATTGAGATCAATACATATAGTCACAAACATAAAACCATTCTTCAGACTTCATATAAAATTTTCATGGTAGTTCTACATTGCTTCAAGATCTTGCACAAGTTGGAAAGCATTCATTTTTTTTTAATACAAATCAACACGAAAAAAGCAACACTAATTCTTGTTAGTAAATATGTCCTCTAATCGGAATCCACTTTCAATAGTTTACGGACTGTTTATACAAAAAGTCATTTGACGAAGAAAAGATGCAATAATTTTTGGCTGTCACGAAATGATCAAGGTCTATCCCACTGCATACTTCTCCTCCAGTATATTCTCTTTCATACCATATGAGTTTTTCTTTTCCTATTCTCTCCTTTATGACATGTAGAGTTTTTCCGTTTCTATTTTTCTTGTCATGTGAATTTCTTCTTCTTCCATCATCCTTCTACATCGACTACCATCATTAATAGAGATGGCGCTAAAAATATTTTTATAAATTCGATATTTCTATTACAATTGAAAGTTTTTTGGAACATCTTTCCATGTCATCAATATATAGTGACGGTCAAAAGTTAATAGTAGCTATAATTTTTAAGTTCTCTTCTCGATAGTAATAGCTAGCAAGAAGCTAACAAAAATATTTATGTAGCTAAAGAGATTCTCTATCAAGATTGATCGGTTCAAAGACTTCAACAAAACTGTTTGGATGGAGATCTGTGGATAATCAAGAGTCCCAAAACCAGCTTTCTGGCTTCCATTCGAAATTGTGGAAAAAAATTTGATGAAGCAAATGATTCTGAGCAAGATGAGATGTCTCCGATCTCTTCATGACCGTCCTTCATCGAATTGCATTCTACAGAAGGTCCAAGAAGCATTTCTCTCTACTCTTTTTTTTTTAAATTTCGATACTTTTGCCTTGTTTGACGTTTTGGAGCCTTCTGTAAATTGAATGCAGTTCGATAACAGAAAGTCATGGAAAAATCGGAGACGCTCCATCTTGTTTAGAATCATTTGCTCTATCAAATATAATTTTTTCTCACAAACTGTGAGTGGAAGTCAGAAAGGTAACTTTGAGAATCTTGATTATTGTGAAATCCTCCATTCAAGCAATTTTCTTAACATTTTCGAGTCTATCAATCCTGATAGAGAATTCTTTCAACTACACAAATATTTTTTTTCAAATTCTTGCTAGCTATTATTATCGAAAAGAAAACTCAAAAACTACAACTGGTTTAAACTTATGTCCGTCATCGTAGGCTATAATCTATAGCAAGATGCGGCTAAGTTGACTTACATAACGAATATCATGATTACTCATTCGTAGGAGAGGAGAAGTGAAGGATTAGAGTGATCATCACTAGCGAGTTTTGAACAGCTGCAATGAAACAAATAATGACATAATGGAATAAACTTTCAAGATCCAAGAAAAACATGATGATATTATATGTAAATAGTCTTTTATAGTAAAAGTTAAATATTCAATCGATGAATGTAAGAATGACTATGAATAAATCTTTTTTTATAATTTTGTATTAAAATAATTATATAATCCATCTATAATACATGTTCTTTCATAAAAAATTAAGAACTCTCATCCTTTAAAAATACTTTTATATTGATATAAAATACATATTACATTATTACAATATAATATATGTTCTGTTTTTTTGTTTTAACTACTCAATATATCATTTTCAAATGCTATTGCCCGATTCAATGCTTGATTTACATCTACTAAATCATTTCGTGTTCGTATTTCATGATTTATTGCTCGAGAAATTCGTTGCATTTGTAAATAAATACATATAATATTTGAAAAAATTCGAACAGCATCAAAATATCCATGACGATGTGATAAATAATTCCATAATAAAATAATAAATGAATGTTGAATTTTATTTAGATCTAAACGATGTTCATATGATAAATCAGGTAATGAATGATCATAGTAACAAAGAAGAGGAGTAGAAAAAAACAATATAAGTAACCAAAGACGTGTTACTGCTGGATCAGTTATTAATATTGATTCAGCTTTTTTTTTAATTTGAACAGACGCAGCAAATAATTCTTTTCCATAAACATATTCTGCTGCTGTATTATCAATATTTACCTAAAGAAAAAAAATTAATAAAATATTTCATTATTTGTTTTTCTGGTTTTTATCAGAAAGAAATAACAAAAACCAATCTAATTAATATTTACCTGCCATGATTCAGTAAAACATGTTTGTTCAATTTCATGTAAATTGGCCAAAATTAATGCACGAATATTATGTTTACATAAATAATAACGATCAGAAATTGAAAGTGTTTGAATTATTGGTATGGATAAAAGAAAAGATAAAAATGATGTTATATTATTAAGACGCATTGCTGTATGATGATTAATTTTTGATAAAGGTTGTTCAGAAAAATTGATTTCATTATTAAAAATAGTTTGACGAGCTTGTGTAAACATTTTTAAACAATAATTATCATAAGCATAAACAATATTTGATAAAAGTCTCCAATCGGTTTCGTTCAATAATTCTTCATTAGATACAATAAACTAAAACAAAAGAAAAAAACAAAGATATTTAATATGATTCATAGGAGAAAATGATAATTTATACTCGAGCAATATTAAGATATTTCTTTTCTGATAATTTTATTGACTCTTGTTTTCGTTGGCGATTCATTTCAACAAGTTCTTTATATCGTTGTTTTTCTTCATCTGTTCGAACTAATTCTACTTTCATACCAACAACAAAACAACGACGTAAGCGACATGATGTACAATGTCGTATTTGAGAACACATATTTAAATTATTATTATCATTATATTGATGTTTCTTTTCATATATTGAAGAATTAGAATCTACAAGTTGACACGGTAATTGAAGAACCTAGACATATGATTTCAATTGAAAAAAACATCACATAAATACTGTAAAAAGTTTTCTTACATCTTTTCGACGAGCATTACGACGAAAAAAAGCTATTTAACGAATTAAAATATAAATTTATTTGAAAAATTAGTGAAATACCTTTACATGGAGCACATGTAAGTACACCAAAATTAATACCAACTGCTTTTGAACCGCATACGGTACAATCACGTGAAGTTAATACATATCGATGTTTAGAACGATGATGATGTGTTGTTGATGTTTGTATTGACATCCTTTCTATATAAGATAGAAAATAATAGAGTTTTTCTTTTTCAAATTCAAATAATTAGAAAATTTTCGTCAATAAAGAGTCTAAATCATTTTTTGATTTAAATGTTTACTTCCATTTAATACGTAAACTTTTAGTACTGGAGAAAAATTCGACAATATGACATATTCATTCTAATATTTTTCATATAATTACAATTGTAGAAAATTTTATTGTTATTCAGTAAAATAAAATAAAAATTTATTTTTATAGAATAATTAATTCATAAGATAAATATTTTATTATTCTATATCAATATGTTCTCTATTGAATGACATATTTTTATGTTGGCTGTCTAATACTTCAAATTAAGTGTTAAATGTTATTTCAGCATTTAAATTTACCTTGAATATTCTACAAAAGTGTGAGATTAAATTTTAGCGATGCTTTTTTTCTAAAAATAATTTGAAAATATAATTTCATTAGTTGACATTTTACAACTTGATCTTAAGACTTACGAGAAATGATTAGTTGAAAGTATTATATGACTAATGCATAGATAATAACGAGCCGTTTTGACCCAGTAGATTATACTTATAGATCGATCGACTTTGAGTTATGTTTACACATCTATAAATATCTAAAATAATCATAAGATCAATAGATAAACAATAAAAATTAAATATTCCATTTTTGTTTTGCATATGTCTATGAATATATAATATTGATAGTTAATAAATAACAAAGAATGAAAAATATAAAAACAGTAAAATAACTAAGATTATTATTGATGAATTAGAAAAACAAAAACCAGAGATATTTAAAGATGAAATCATTAAAAACAAGACATGACATATTAATCTGAATTAAAGCTAAGTCTAATGAATGTTAAAATATGTTAAGCTATTGATAAAATTCATGTCTATATGTTGAGCTTAGCTAAGATTTACTTAGATATTTATAGAAATATATTGAGATAAGGAAAGAAAAAACTAAAACTCTTACTAATTTGTATTTATTTTAAAACTAAATAAACAATGTCATACTACAGAATAGCATTTTCTTTGAACAAATTTTAAAGTCTTCTACCATCTCAATTATTACGCCTACATACAATATGAGTTTTCTATTGGTTATGAATATTATAAGACAAATAAAAAAGGAGGAAGAATGAATAATATTTTAGTTATTGTTAAAACTATGTTCGATTTCTATTTTTAACTCAGTTTTGACAATCATGACTTTATTAAATTCAAAATTTTTTTGTTACCTATTAGTAAAACTATCGTATAATAGTTTCAATCAATAAACTAATTAAAAATAATCTAGACGCGCCATGCTATCTAGAGAAAAAAAAGCATGTCATAATGAGTACATTTACCTATACTTTAGTGTTCTCTCAGGTCATTATTCTTTCCCGTTCTGTTTTTTGCACTCTGCTTTTCTGTCTGATGTATTTTGAGTAAAAAGATGTATATTTTACCCTTTTAATATAATAAGAATGTCCAATTAATTTTTTAATTCCTTAGATACTATGCGAAAAAAAAAGAAATCAACTTAAATCTTTTACATAAACCATTGATATCTAATGGTGAGATGTCTACAAATAGATTCTTATTATTTCGATTATTGTCAACTAGCGATGTCCTTCGAAGAATAATAGATGACATTCTAATCAAAGTATTCATTGTAAAAAAAAACATAACTATGTAAAAATAAAAGGTTCATTTTCTCATTAAATTTGTTCAGGAAATATTTCGTAAACATCGGTGTAATCTAGTATTTGACACTAATGTTTGAAAAGTTGTTTTTCATATCTTATAATTACTGATAAGTAAGCCTATTGAATTACAATGATAATTATTATTATTATTTCATTAATGTCGAAGTCACCCGGAATTTGGATATATGCTCTAGATATTGTAAAATCTATCTATGTAATACTATATTACACTGACTTTTAGAACCGTTGTTTTTTTTTGGATAAATTAAATCTTCGTTAATAAATATCATCAGCAGAACTATTAGATGAACTCTATTATATTAACCTTTGTTAAGTTTTATTCTTGTAACAGAAATTTAACTTTAGAAAAGAAAACATTGGTTTTGACTTCGCATGCATATTTTTCAATTCTTTTATAAGAAGCAAACATATGTACAAAATAATCAAATTTTTTTGAGAAAAAAATAAATAATGATAAAAGTTAGTTTTTAATTTCATACGAATATCACAATTTGATGAAGTTTTCATATTAATTTCTGTTTTTATTGGTCAGCATTAATGTCAAGCTTTACTAATTCATCGAGTGCTTTATCTAGTGGTGCTAGATCTTTTTCCATTTGTAATCTTATATGAATACTAATTTCAACACGTAACATATTTAAAAAGATTAGAATGAGATTAGAATAAATTCGAACTGCTTCCATAGGACCATGACGATATAATAAATATTTCCACATAAGAGTTGCATAAATATTTTGAATATCAATAAAAGATAAATTTTTCTTTACTTTTATTGTTGTTGATTGCGAATCATAATCAGAAAAAAGAGGTGTAGAAAAGAATAATACAATAATCCAAAGACGTGTTATTATTGGATCAGCTATCATTGATTTTTCAGCTACTTTTTCAATATGAGCAAATTGTTTATATAGTTCTGGACCACAGATAAATTCCCAAATAGATTTGTAGATAGCTATCTAGAAAAAAAAAGGATTCTTTTTTGTTTGAACATAAATCTATTCGGATTTATCTACTGTTTTTACCTGCCATGGTTCGGAAAAACAGGATTGATTGAGTTCATGAAGATTAGCAAAGATCAATCGACGAATATTATTTTGACATAAAAATGATTGATTACTTCGTACAAGTGATTGAAAAGCAGGTAATGATCTGAGAAATGAAATAAGCGAAATGATTAAACTCATTGGTAATACTCCATAATGTTTCATTAATAGTTCTTTTTGTGATGTACCATGAGCAAACATATTTACACGTTGTTCAAGATAAGTTTCAACACAACATGTATCATATGCATAAACAATATTTGATAAATGACGCCAATCGAATTTACTTATTAAATCATTATTATTCTCAATATGCTATAAAGAAAAATAATAAAACAATAAAAAAATTTATAAAAGATTATCAATGTATAAGTAGAATAAAGATCTTCTAATGATCTCGACTGAGAAGAAATGAAATATTCGTTCTTTGTAGAAAAATTCTGTTTCTAAAGGAACATAGAATTAGAATTAAGAGAATTGACGAAAAACTATGAAAGAGAGAATATTGAAAAACGAGTGGAAAAAGGAAAAAATCCCAAGAATACGATAGGATAAATATATGTCTGCAGTATATATTGGATGTAGGTGTTGGTTTGGATCATCTCTACATCCATAACTACATCCTTCTAAGGCATCGAATAGGAAGCAATCAACAATCAAAACAGCTTTTCAACGGCGATTGGAAACATTGAATATTAAGTTTAAAAGTGGTGAAATAGATTCGAAAAAATTCCTGGCCAGATTTAACTTTATTGATGGGAGGATGCAAAAAAATAAAATGTCTCATCGTCATTTAAAAATCAGGCAAATCTCATTCTCGATATTTTTTTTTATCTCCTTTTTTCCCTATTCATTTATTTTCAAATAGTTGCATTTCTATTTCACAAACTCGTTCAATACAAATTGTATACAAATAGATACCTAGAGTTTATTTTTGAAAATTTTCAATGTTATCAAAACTTGCTTTACTTTCGGTTCGTTTCTATGGAATGAAAAGAAGTGTTGAACTGCTGATTTAATCTACTGGTTATGCTATTGAAATATGTTATATTTTCATCACTTCTACATGGACTATCAATATTATTAACGTACAATTTCTTCATTTTTGTTTTAAGTATTGTTTCGTTGTGTTTTTAGTATTTTGATGCTTGACAGAAATGACTTAAGACTAGGTTCTTCAATATTACAGCGTCGAAATTTCATAGTTCAATCAAGTTACACATTTAATAGTTGAATAGTTCAGAAAAAAAAACACCATTATGTTAACTATATCTCGAATAAAAAAGATACTTAAGTACAAACACTTTTAGAATTCTTTTAGTCTGATTGACATATACTTATCATCAAAAGATGAGGTCAAAGGATGAGGCCAAAAATCTAGATCAGTTGAAGTACTTCCTTCGTTAGTTTCATCTTAACATCATTGTTTAATTCAGATTTCTATTTATAAATTGTAGTATATATGAGAATGTTTTTCTTTATATTTAATATCTAAATTAACTACCAAAATTGAATTGATCTACATTCTCTAACATTTAACATATACAATAAGAAAAATAGATTTTGTAAATTTGATTTATATAATAATTATGAAATCTAACATTAGAGGTATACGAAACTCTTTTGCAATCTTAATATCTATTACACATAGTCTACATTGTGATCGATATCTTGTCAATACATTCCATCAGTTCTACTAAAGAAAGATAAAATTAAAATATAACCAAGTTTTATATGAACCGCCGGCTCTATCCTCAAAGCAACAGATAACAATAATAAGCCACTATCTTTGTCAATGATAAAGAATCATTAAAATTAAATCAATGAAATTAAACATTTTTTGTAGCATTTATTATGAAACTCATATATCTATTCATCTACTATAACACATAGTTAAATGAATATCTTTTTTCTATGCTTCGTATGTGAAGAGTTACATCTAAAATAGAAACTTCTATCGTAAAAGATTGATAAAATGAATTAAGTCTTATTGTTTAAGAAACGCAAACATCATTCAATTTTATAAAACTACTTTTGGCTTATTTTTTTTTTCATTTTTATTTCGAATGCAAGAATTATTCTAGTAACGTTTCGCTATTTATGTCTTAAAATAGTTCTCCTATTTACATTCCTATAACATTTCTTTATCATCTATTTGATTTCTGATATGTTAAAAATGGTAATCAGATCTATAATTTTGTATCTTTTTTAATGTTTTTTGGTGTTAATACGAGGCACATGGAAAGCTCTTTTATTATTTCAAAAAAAAAAAAGATGTAGATACCTGGACAATGGATAATTTCTTTTCTTGTTGTAGTTGTTTTAACCATTCTTGTCGTTTTCGATTATTATCCACAAGATTTTTATATCGTTCATTTTCTTCATGTGTTCGAATTAATTCTTCTTTCATGCCGACTTCAAAACAACGACGTAAACGACATGATGAACATTGACGAATTTGTAAATAACGAATTGTTCTATCATTAATATTTGTATTTTTTTCTTTTAATGAATTTACATCAAAATGATGACAAGGTGTATCGAGAATCTAAATAGTAATTATTTTTGATTAATAAGAAAGAAGGATTGTTGTCTAATTTTTTTTTCTCACTTCTTTTCGTCGAGCATTACGACGAAAAAATGCTTTTTATTTAAATAAATAAATAAAAGTTATGTTAAAGAAAAAAAAAACTCAAGAAAATTTTCTAAATACTTTCATACCTTTACATGGCGCACATGTTGGTACACCAAAATTTATACCTATTGCTTTTGAACAACATACTATACATTCATGATTGGATAATGTTGCTCGACGTCGATGATGATAATGAACAATGTTGTTCATTGATTTGATTGTTTATTTCTATATATCAGTATGAAATTAAAATGGATTTTCTTAATAATATTTAAAGTTTATTAGAATAAAATAATATCTCATGTAACTGCAATCTTTGAAAGTTATAATATTTACAGTTTATGCGCAAGTGATTTTCCGATATCACACGAAGTAGATATATCATTGAAAATTTCTTAAATACTACCAGACTTAATTTATTTTCTATTAGAAAAAAAATCAGAATAAATTAGTTATTCTGATTTAAAAAATAAACGAAATTGGTTACTTCTAATATATGTTTATTGAAGAAAAAGGAAATGAATTGAATAGTTCTAAAATGTACTAACTAATTTTACAAGAAAGTACATAGTGAATCAGGTCATTCTCATATCTTGTCACTGGAAAAGACAGAAAATCATGTATGTACACTTTTTAGACCTCTGACTTTTTAAAACACTTCTTATGAAAAGTATCCTCTCATATTATCTAAGTGACTTTTTTTTGTTGACATCAGAGGACACTATCTTATTACACTTGAAAAAACTACAGAAATTGACGCAAGATGTGTTTTTTACAAGATATGAGTTGATGACAATATATAATAATCAAAGAAGTATTATTAATTTTGTTTATATTGCGACATAGATTGAAAATTGGTAAGAAATTACCTTTTATTGATAAATATCTCCAAAAAAATAATTAAATAGAAAATAATATATTTCACAATTTATTATGAGAAAAAAAAGGCGTCAATTGTACGGTTTGCTTATTGCTATCGTTAGAGGTGTCACTCAGTCCTGAAGGCAGACAGCGCAGGGTTTTTGAGTCTCACAAAAAGAAGAGCTACAGGAATAATTTTCAAAAGCAGAAACTGGAGCGTGTTGTCCCACATAAGCTACGCTCCTGGTTATCAATATGAATTGATGAATTTATTATAATTAATTGACTTATCTCAGATCAAAATGACATTATTAGAACTCAACAGTTCAATAGAAATTGAATGTCTTGATACTAAAAGAAAAGCATATTTAATTGATTTTCTTTTCTATTTCTGTTGCATCATATTTATTAATAAATCATGAATATTTTTTTTCTTAACAGTAACCTCAAGTTAAGTACATTAAACTTTTTGTAACTAAGAGTAAGAGAAATTTTTTTCGTAATATCACATTTCTTACTGTTTAAATCAAGTTTTTAAAGAAATTTAGTAATAAAAATCTTATTTAACTAATAGAAAAAGTTTATTACGTTATCACTCATTTAGATCAAAATTCTATTCAGATTATTTTTTCAATAAAATTTAAAGATTTGTCAACTAACATCTCATACAAGAATCAAACTTACGAATGCTGTTTTCCTTGAATACAAAATACAACGAGACAATTTAATGAGGTTCGTGATAACTTATCTACGAACATTAGTTTAGTCTTGCATGACCTAGTTTTATCTTTTTTTCTTATCTTTCATATATAAAAAGTATGACATTATTAACTAAGATAATGTATTCTAATAATAATAATATATTCTTTATTCAGAAGAATACTAATGACCTTTTTTATTGCTATTATTTTTATTCTTTTATTCAACAAATGTTTCTTGTGTTTTGTTTTGAAACACACTGTATGATTTTATAAAAAATAAAATTTTTGAAAAAATTTAAAAGTCAAAGAACAAACATGAAGACTTCATTGGTGTTGTTCTTTTAAACTACGATGTTATTTTGTTGTCTTCGATCAAAATACATTAAAAGTTTCAAATATTAAAAAATATTTTTTTTCCATAAAAAAGAAGAAAACAAAAAAGAAAGAATTTTGCTACTATTTAAAAATAATAATAAACTGATTTTTACCAGTAAACACCAATAGATATTGGAAGAATGAAAACAAATCTTCAGATATTTTACATACTTTCTCTTTTTGCTTTCTATCAGAACGTGACGTCAAACACAAGAAAAAAAAGTACATATACAAGTACACATATTCATATTTGTGGTCTTTTATTATGACTGAAAATGGCACATTCTTTCAGTTATAAGATTTTTCACGATTTTCTTTCTGCATTATCATCATCCTTATTTGAGTCTGCCGTTCTGGCACCATTTATATGGATATACTGCTTGCAACTCATAATGTATATTACATTTAGCACATTTGTAAAAAAAATAACTTATTATTAAATGTATCATATTGCACAAAATTAGAAGAAAATAAAATATAAGAAAAAATATTCTAATTATTAGCTGTACTATATAAAAGTGTTTTTTTACTAAAATAGTGTATGCCATAGGTTAAATCAAAGTTTTTTTTATTTTTTTCTGATTATTATATTTACTAGATATAATTCTTTTGGAAATGAAATTTTTTCATTCATGGAATATAATCATACAAGATTTTCTTGTTCTTCTTATTGATTATTTGAGAGGATTTAAAACAAGAATAAACTATTTTTTTTTATTTTGTCGTTTCATTTATTTATTTTTTCTAGACATTATATATTATTTGATTAAGTATAGCAAAGTTTACAGGCAACAGGTGGAACATATAAAAGAAAACATGCTTTGTGTTATATTTGAAAGCATTCAAATTAGCTTTCAATTTCGAGTTAATTTTTTTAACACATGGTTGACTTTGTTTATCAAAACAAAATTCAAGTCATAGTTTGTACTAGTTTTCAAAATTCCTATTCTTTGATAGTATTCTATTTTGTAACAAGTTCAACGATAAACATAAACTATTTTAACAATAATAGATAGAAAAACGAATTACTTCGTGTTCCTATTTATATTGTTCTAAATAAATAGCTATTGTTTTTTTATGTGACTAGACGTTTGATAGCTTACAGTTCTATGTACCGAAAGAATCGAGCTAGAAATATTGCTTCGAAGGTTTCTTTTTTGAAGAACTAACTTCATTGATCAATTTTTTTGCATGAGCTGAATAAATGAACACCTGATTTTTTTCTCCTAGATCTAAATTTCAGCTTACATGTATAACTCAAGTACACTGTCAGAAAGAGATCAATTAAGATATTTAATGACAACAATTCATATACAAAGAATTGGTGGCCAGTTTCCGTTCTTTTTAAAAGCACAGGTTGATCTTACTCAGTTTAGTTACTCGGTCGAGAAATGCTAAACGTCTATACATGACGGGAAGGTACCTATTTCAAAGTTAAATGTAGTTTGGAAAATAAAGAATGTAAAATAAATCTTGATTCTTTAATGACAATGTTCTTTCCATTACATGCATGTATACTATCGGAGACTGGTATTTAAAGTATGCATGTACTAAATGTCTGGATTTCCTCTATGTTGGAATATCAGCCTTGTATGTATTATTGTTAAAGAAAATACAAGTAATGCGAAAGTCATAGAAACTTTTCGAATTACTTTTAGTAATATTTTTAATGTTTTATTAGTAATGTTACATAAAAGATACTGTTGGAAGAAAGTTTTACAAATCGAATTTCTTGAAAATAAAACTAATAAAAAAATCTTACATAAATATTTATACATCTTTACTACAATGAATTGAAGATTTTGCTTACCCTATGAATTATTTACTAGATTATTAGTATGGATTGTTTGATGTAATTTGTAATATTCAAAATTCTCAGTGAGTTAGTTTCACTTAGTTAAAATAAAAAATTTTTAACTGATTCAGAAAAACAGTAGTTATGCATCACATTATTTAGTCATTTTGGGAGCGATTTTGTTTTTTATATAATTCATATACACGTTTTCTTTTTTCTATACGTCAGTATGGCAAGAGAAGAAAAGAACGGATCGCACAATTTGTTACGAGTCATCATTATGTAGACAAATGACAGAAACAGAGGAGCAGTATGAAGCAATATAAAAGTTATTTATGATGTACATATGATTGTACAACTAATTACATATTTTCTACCTACTTGTTGATTCAAAAAATAATTCAAGTATTGATAGTTTCGTCGTTGATTATTTCTCTGTAACAATAATATGTATAAAGTTAAAATTCTCGCTTAGAGTAGATCTAGATGTCTAGTGCATTTGCTATGAACATGAACTTCTGCCAGTATGGACTTACGTGATAAAAAAGGGAAATTATTTGAGTAAATCAAAACTTATTGTACATTCTTAGTTAACCATCATGTATCAAATATCGAATATAATTTGCCGTCATGGCTGAGTGATTACGTTACTCGACATGTATTCACAAGGTACTGTGTACAAATCTTAGTGGCACCAGCTATAAAATGACTCTTGCCAAGTCATTCATGGCTATTTGTCTCGGATCACTCATTCGAAAAGCATGTCGATTGTATTGTGACATACACCTGCATTTGTGGCTAGTTAGCATGTATGAGAAGTTCAAGCAATTGACCATAAGAACTCTGCGTCAAATCGACCTTCAGTCTAGAATTACAGCTAGTCATAGTTATAGGGAAGATATAAGGCATTTTCAGTCTGTCGCTAAGCGGCACTACATATTGTAAGGTAGCTCAAAGACAAGGGTATTCTTCGTTCTTCCAAATATTGTTTTGAATAAATCGGTGTAATTTGTTTTTCGAATAATAAAACTTGGACTAATTTTTATTGTGAGCACTTTTTTTGCCAATTAAGAAAAGATGTCCGCAAAGCAGAATCGGGAAGGAGACAAAAATGACCGCATAATGAAATCAGCACAATAATGTATTAGTGCAAAAAAAACACCATAAATGAGAAGACAAGAAACATTTAACATTGTTTAAGTATGTAATTAAAGTCATCTTTTTCAGTTTCAGCAGACATCTTGATATATCAGCGACCAAGAGAACGTGATCTGATTTGGTAAATATAAAGATCCAAGAGACCATCTAAATAATTCTGCTTCGCTTGAATTAAAATATTTTCATTTGTCATCGATTTGAATTTTTTAGGACGTTTTGTACGCTATTGAGCTTGCTCTTGTTCAACCCAGACATTTGTTGATTCTTGCGATTCTTGAATATACCTTATCCATGCCTAAAGACTTGGACGTGTTTGATAATGAGAATTTAATTCACCATGATAACCTTCTATGTGATTATTAGTTTTAGGTTGAATATCAACTAGATCGACTAAATTCCAAAATGATCGAGAAAATAATTCTTCTTCAATGTACGTACGAAGAATATAATCTGTTAACTTAAGAAAACTGTGGTGTACATTACTTATTTCTTCGATAATATTACCGAAAGCTTCATTAATTTCTTGTGTTGATAATAATGGTAACATATGTATATGTGCTATTTATCGAGGAGCTTCATTATCATCTGATAAATTAACTAAACTCTTTTTTCGTAATTTGTCGCCAAATATTTTGAGAGAAGTGGAAAAAACATCCCTTGATGCTCGCTGTTAGAAAGTTTTTTGAAAAAGCATTGCAGAAGATCTTTTCAAAATCAATTAAAATAGATTTTGAATCGAGTAAGATACCACTGGTTTGAGCATATAATACTAATTTTTTCAATAAACTATTGTATGTATTAACATTTTTATTAGGCTATGCAGGATATATCATGAATTTCATACAATAATCGTCCCATACGTGAATACTATAACTTTGATAAAAGAGTCGAGGTGCAGTGTAGAAAGTACTGTCGCTGTTTCAATGTGAATTTGTATCAGGAAGTTGAATAGCCGTTGGTGATGCAAAAGTAAGAATTGATGCCAGACGATTATTATAAAAGAAAAGATTGTTTCTCATCAATGTTCGAGTAAGTTGACTAGATACATCAATTGTTGATAATGACTTGGGTATTGGTGGACGTTGAAACGAACAATATTCACATAACGATGACTTAACACGATCAAATACAGGAACTGCAGCAGCACTATCATTTTCTTGTCTAAATTTTTTAACTTGTTGATAATATAATAATAGTACCGGTGCTATGCGTTCTTCTTCGATCCTTCGCTTGATGGATTTGATGCATTCATATACATTTAAAGACATTTTTTCTTGATGTTGAAATTTATGATTTCCATCAGCTTTTATAAGCCATGTTTTTACAATGAAATATTCATATATAGTTATGGTGGCATTACATAACTTATGTGTGCAAATCCATACTTGACTTCCATTGTTTTTGGTTCGTCGCAAACCAAAATGACGGGTTTTAAACATTACGGCATCATTGCAAAATTGTGTGGTAATTTTAGAAAAGCTATCACAGCTAACGATGGATATTGCGATTTAATTCATTTTACTTTATTTTAATCACTTTAAATACTTTAGTGACAAGTACATGTAAAAGAATGTCCTGGACAACACATGACGTCCATCATTGGGCTAGCTCTAATAAGATAATATTCTCTCTGAAATAAGCCATCTATGTTGATCATCTCTTTGTAACTATTTTCACTTGTTCCCATAATGCGAACATTTTCCAATGTGCGGTCATTTTTGTCTTTTCTTCCTTCCTCCGCTCCCATTTCTATTTTGTTTGGCGAACATTTTTTCCTCCAATTACGGAAAAACTTTCCCAATCAAGAAGATACGTTCTTTTGCATCTGTTTACTCTTTCGTGCTTGATTTCATATAGATCGCGATTCTTTCTTTCTTCTTTCTTCTTTCTCTTCCTTCAATATAATACCATTCTTTTTTTCTTAGGAGGTCATCTCTTTTTTCGATGTGATATCTTTCGATCACATTGTCATCTCTTTGTTGTGTTCGCTGTCTCTTTCGTTAACCCCGAATGTGTGTGATAATATATATATATACGCGCGTTTTTCTCTGATCTAGTTAGTCTGGTATAATATAGTTGCTGTGTGCGTATGTATGACTGTTGTGTGGCATGTATGTATTTATTAAGTAAAAGCAAAGGAGGTTCATAAGAAACTCATTCCCTAATAAGCACCTTAATACGTTTAAAATATCAAAATACTTTTTCTACAGCAAAAAGTAATACTTTCCTTTTTCAAAGATCCTCCTGAATCTTCCTTCTTTCCAAATGACTGTTCACAAGTCAGGTTAAAACCATGATAACATATAATTTTGAATGATATGGTAGTATTTTCTTTTGGACAATGAAGTAAGAATCCAGGAAACATAAAATTATCTTTCTGTACCAACTGAATTTATTATTATCTGTATTATGTAGATATCCCGGTTGCGTCACCTCATCCTTGTATTCAGAAGGAACAAGAGATCAACGAAAATATAACTTATGATTTAAATACATTTCATACTTTTGTATATTTGTTTAGAATGACTATTGATGAATAAATATCTTCAGTGCCAAAGAATAATGAATGTTTCATCGCCTTTACAAAATAATGACCAATTAAAAAATGAAGGTCAATTAATACATGTTTTATCACCATTACAAAATAATGGTCAAATATGAAATATTGAAACACTATTAGACGATGCATTAGTGAACGAAACATCAATACGAGATAATTTTTAGTGCAACGATGATAATCTACCAAATTATCTTTTCGAATTGCGGAAAGAAAACAAACAAATTATGAAAGAATATGATGGAAAAATTGAGGATTTTTATCAAAAAATAAATAAAGCTCGGAAAGATTTGAAACAAATGGATTGTGAAATGAGGAAATTAAAAAAAGAAAAAGAATTTTTAGAATTCTTCAATGAGCATATATGTATGTTAAAAATGAATAAGTAAGTGTGCATTTTAAAAAATAAAATCTTTATCTTCTGTTCGCATAGATTTAATCTAAAGGCACAGAAAAAGTCCATGAAAAGCATCGTAGGTGGTATTAATGGTAGTGGTAAATAATTATGGTGATTGACTCTATGGTCTTTTCTAATTCTTCACAATTTGCAACAACCACAATCATCAACTCTTTATATACCAACACCATCAGTATAATCAAGAGTCGATATCACATCAGTACTCACACCTGTCCAACAGCATGCCAGCTTCGAACAGTAAAAAAAACTATTGAGTGCATCCTCAATTTCAGGTATACTTCTTTATAAACAGGGTGGGATTGGAAAGTCTATAGCTAGGGTGCGAGTGGGTGTGGATGTGGATGTTGGTGTTCGTTCAGGAAAGCTCGCATTCCCATCCTCATTCCCATCCACACTCTTCATTAACAGCTTAGATTTATTATTAGATCTAATTTTATTATTATGTTAGATATTTTATTGCGAGAATATTTGTAACACATTGAATAATTTGAGTTGCTGCTATTTGTGCATCTTCATAGGAAATTCTTGGTAACATTAAAAATAAAGTAAAAAATAATTAATAACATTTCTCTGATCCAAATGTCTATTGAAATTCGAATAAAAATATTTGAAATAAAACACTTGTTTTCTTCCTAAAGTTGTTCGTGTTAATTGATTTGTTCCTTGTATTAATTGTGGTAATGACAATGATTACACTTTAATACTATTTAATAATGTTATTGGAAGATTTATTATAAATTTTATTCAATATTCTCGAAGGTTTGCATAAGAATTTATTTCTTTATTATACTCATGTAGATTAGATTCATCAAATGATATTGAGTTCTATTTGGAAAAAAATTATAAAATAAAAGAAAAATTAATAAAATAAAAATAACTTGTTTTGAATTTTGACTTTCTAATGATCATATAAAAATAGTTGTAGATAGAATACTATCTAAAAAAATCTGGATAATTTCCATTTTATTTATTGTAAAATAATATTTACTTGAAATAGCTTTATTAACAATTTGATTATTAAATTATATTAAATACTTGTAAAAGTGAAATAATATTTTGACTAATTGTATTTTGATTTTCAGTTGAAAATAATTGATTATTAACTGATCATTTTAGATCATTAATTAAATCATCTGTTTCTATTGAATTCGATTCGATATTAATAGATGATATGCTATCTTCTGTAACACAGCTTAATGTGTTTCGAATATTAATAAGATGATTAAGTTTTCCAGTTGGTAAGCGGACTTGAAAATTTGAAATTTGTGAAAAAGCAATGATCATTAATTTTAATGGAAATATTTTTCCAAACTCAAAATAAATCTATGTTTAATTTAAAGAAAAAAAACTGTTTTCATATAACATAATGTATCATCTTTCGTATTATCTTTATCAAACCAATTTGAACATGAAGCATGATATCAAGTATTTATTATATGATTTTAAAGGATTTATTTAACATGAACCATTAGAAGGTGATTCGTTGATAGGAATATTTAATTCATTTACACTTGTTCGTGTTTGAAATCTATACAAAACTTGAAATTTTCAAAAGTTTTTTCAGAATTTTTCATAAATAGTTGATTAGTTGGTGTAAAATTGTTTGTATTTATACCTAGAATAATCAATGGAGGCACTTCAATTACTTAAATAAAGATTTTTACTAGAAAAATCAAATACTTCGATAGAAGATTATTTGATCAAATAAAGTCCATTGAGTAAAATTAGAAAACGAATTAATTAATGCATAATAAATATTCCATTTAATGTTTAGAATATTTGTACAATTTTCAACACAAATAGGAAAAAGATGCAAGTTATGTTATTGAATTAACAATTTCAAATTTTAAATTGGGAATACATACTATTATCGGAATTTTAAAAAAAGGCTATCGGGCAAAATGCTTATAACTTTTGAACGAAGACAGCTAGAGCCCTGCGGTTTTCATCATTCGAAAGGAGAGACAAGGGGACGCCTTTTTCTCCAATATTGTATAGGAGGAAATCATTTAAAAATCAGTCATTTCTACAAAACATCGAAAAATGCATAAAAAACGGTCTGCTATTCAGATGAAATTTTGATGAAAAGTACGAAAATATGCTTAAAAATTAAAAGATCTCTATAGTTTTTGTGCGATTGAATAGACAAGTTTATTTGTTCAACATTAGGAGATGGAAAGTTAATCATTCGAATTATATCTTGAACTATACATCTAAGGTTCCTCTATTTAGATCAGATGTCAGAACCAAAATTTCATCAAAATGGCAGATCGTTGTCATAGATTTTTTTCATGCTTTGTAGAAATGACTAATTTTTAAATGATTTCGTCCTATACAATATTAGAGGAAAAGGCGTCCTCTTGTCTCCCCTTCGAATGATGAAAACCGCAAGACTCTAGCTATCTTCGTTCAAAAGTTATAAGCATTTTGCCCGATAGCCTTTTTTTAAAATTTCTATAATAGTTAATGTAACAAATAATATAAAATATTTCTCAATCTTTAATTAAATTAAATTAAATAAATAATTTAACTCAATGATGAATAATTGTGGATGAGAATCATCAATTTTAATAAGTTAATATCCAATTGTTTGAAGTGATCAATTTTGATGATTTTTCATATGAACTATAAATTGATGTATTTCATCGGTTATCAATGAAATATATAACATTCTAGTTGTCTATTTTGATCAGACAAATAGATGTTTACGTCAACACAATTTTCGGTGATTTTGCTGATAGATGAAATCATCATCTAACAATTATTGACCTTCACATCACATATTTTTGTTGATGAGGTTAGTGTTATTTGAATGCGTTCATGTTCTGAAAGGTCTGAAAATAATTCATATTACAAATCTATTTCACATATATTAAATCATCCTATTATTTCTTTTTTGAGGCGATTTCGGTTTAGTCCATTCCTTTTCTCTCTATCGTTTTCTGCTTCAAGCAGATTAACATCAATACGCTGGTGTGAAAGATTGAGAAACAAATCCATTGATATGATTTTTCTACATGCACGATTTCGCCTATGAACAAGATATAGCAAGTATTTGAATGCTATAAATAGAGTTACGTGCATTCTATTGATAATGCGAGATTATGCTGAAATCTAAGTGCTTTTGGTTGATCAAACGAGAAAAGATATTGCTCATGCACCAATGATTAGTTTTATTCGCAGTGTAGAAATTAGTAATGGGGAATTTCGTCTGTTATGATAGCAAAAAATTGCAAATTGTAGAGTTGACGTTGTTGTATTCTTTGATATATTTGCTTTTCAATAAAACTGATCAGACATTCATCGCTGACATTAATACGAGATCATCTTCTATTTTATATTTCTTCTATGCAAAAAAAACATAAAAAGACACGAGCCCAGAATTATACATCAAGGTTAGCTAGTAAAATGAATAGGCTTTTTAAACACATACGATTCGTTGTGTTTAATATCATTTTCATGAC